CCAGTTCCAGGTGTTTATCTCAACTGCCTCATCCTTACCCTCAACCAAGACACTCAGCCATTGGTAAAGAAGGAGCCCAGTCAACCCAGGAAACCATGCGCTTCTGGCTTCCTCTCTTGGCGTGGTTATAGAGGCTACAGAGGGATCACAGGCTCAGTGTGAAGCACTGGGGCCAGGTTCCACCAGCTCATGGAGATTTTCAATCACAGGTTGTCTAGGGACCCAACACGGAGCTGTGTGTGTGCACATGTGTCTCCTGATGCAGGCAGGTGTGTGTGTGTGTGTGTGTATGTAGGCCAGAGGTCAGTCTTGGCTGGCGTTCTTCATGATGTCACCCACTTTGCTTTTCAGACAGTCTCTCATTGACCTGGAACTCGACCGGCAGGTTAGTGAGCCCTGGACATCCATTTTCTCCACCTCCCTTGTATGAAGATTATAAGTTTGCACCACCACCGACACATTTGGCTGTTTTCATGTTTAAGTGAGTCCTGGGAATGGAACCTGGGCCTCCATTCTTGCAAAGTAAACACTTTACCAAATGAGTTATCTCTCTAAACCACTCCCTCCCACCTAAACTTCTAAGGGATCTGAAGTGTAAGATAAAGGCCTGGGCATTGCTTTGCCTTTTGGGTCTTGAATTAAGAAGCGATCAGAGACAACATACATCAACTAACTAAACATGTTTGAAAAAAGGATGTGTTACTTAGTTTCAGCAAGGAAAATCAGACAATCTATTTTTCTAGAAACAGCCGCGGGGTCTTCTCTTTGTAGAGTTAGACTTCGCAATGCTGTTTGGGCTGACTGGGGCAGAAAAGGCTGAGCAGGCATGTGTTGAGCTGAGTTTCCCAGTGGTACTGGGGTTGGTTTTGTTTTTTGTTTTGTTGTGTGTGTGTGAGTGTGTGTGTGTGTGTGTGTAGGGGTTGGAACCTGGGGCCTCACACATTAGAGCACACTATCTCTCCATGGCTTCCACAAGGAAGAGAACAAAGCGAGGCATACTTCACAGTGGTTACCTTGTGGTTTTCAGGCTGCACACACCTACTTACTAAAGCTACTTACGCACGTGGGCACTGCATGGCATCCCATTAAAGCACTGTGCCTTTGGAAGTCTATACATCAAAGTTTTATGGAGAATAAAAACAAGGGCTTAAAGTCTCCAGCACTTATACCCTGGTGACCATCAAAGTCCGAGTGTGTCAGCGTCTTGTGTGGCCACATTTGCAACAGGAGCCTACAGCTGCGCCTGGCATCCGGTGGAATGGGATGTGGTTTAAGGCAGCTTTGTAAAACGGCATACAAATGTAGAAAATTTAATTATTTGATTTAAAGAAAAATCTTGAAAATTTTCCCATCAAAAAAGGGTAGTATGATAAACCCTTGCAGAATTTAATATTATCCAACATTCTATGTGTACTGACAAGCAAGAATAGCCATCACGCTGTGCTTTCTTATTGTGAGGGCTAACTTTGTCTGAGATGGCCACTATTTGCCTACCCAAATCACAACCTATAAGCCACTCTTTATATATACATTTATACATAAACACACATGTGTACATACATACATATACATACACACATACATACATACATGCACACAAGTACATTCTACCGACCTGTTCCTTTAGAGAACCCTGACTAACAAAATTATCTCATACTGCTTCTTTGAAAGAAAGATGTGAAAATCTCTCGCCCCTATATCTTACAGTCTTTGTATTTATGTTATTTACTAAACAAAACAGGTTAAAAGGCAGTATGTTGGAAATTCCCTACTTTATAGACATAAAATAAGATGGTCCTAGGTCATACAAATAAGAATACAAGTATGTAAATTAGGCATACAGCACCTCTACATGTCCCAGCTACATAATGTGCTATTGCTATGTGGTCACTGCAAAGGACCAAAGCAGGGCAATGGGAAGCAGGCCCTGGCTTTACCTGCTTTTTAAAACCAAAGGCCTTTAAGTTAGCCGACAGGCATGTCCCCGACCCCAGTCGATGAGCACAGACAACACATTTATAGAAATTCCAACCTTCGGTGCTTGCTTCTATCACATGAGGTAATTTCATTTCCAGGCCGCCCCAGGCTTTACCCACCAGCTCCCAGAGACATGATCTTCACCAAACCACAGTGCACAGGAAGCAAAGCCATGACGCCACTCCCCATCCCAGGGGATGGACGCTGAAGATAAGCTGCTACACTTATCTGAAGATGAGCTTCAGTGGACTAGTGAAGGTGCCCCTGCACTGTGCCCCCCTCTCTTCCCACCACCCAGGTAGATGAGCATCTGGATCTCTTAGTGTACAGTAAGCACATGGGAAATTAAGAAAGCAGTTGAATCCATCTCATCTACCCTTTGGTGTTCTGTAAGTCTAGACCCAAAAGTAACACCTGTTTCATTGCAGTCAGGAGGCTTCGAGGTAGAGAAGGGCAGGTAGGAAGAGCTCAGGGTGTGTTGTCCATGGAAGATACTGAGTCCCGAGGGCAAGGAAAGAAGATCCCGCAATGAACCAGACTCTCGGTGCCAAGTAAGCAGGCCTGACTTCCTTCCTTCTCTAGCCCTTTGAGTAACTATAGGTGCCGAGACTACTGAAGGGCCCTCGAGCTTCTTCACCGTCACATTCTAGGGCCTCACTCTCGGGGCTTGGCTCCTTCAGAATTCTATCCCCTGGCTGGTGGCCGACGCCTAAAGACACAGTTTGTTAGATGATTCCTGCTTTGTTGACCTTCCCCAAGAATCCTCGGGGATCTGGAAGGCCTGGCTGCAGGTTCAGAAATGCCTCGGGGTGTACAAAGCAAACTCAGCTAAATCTGAGGTGACAGGCTCCTCAGCCCTGCTGTGTGGTCCCAGGCATCCGGCCACGGGGAGGGGCTGCCTGGTGCCCCAAAAGAGCAGCTTTTCACAGACTAGAATGGGAAGGAGTCCCTTAGACCTCAGGTCTGCAGAGGGCAAGAGAGAGGAGAGCCATGAAGAGGAAGATGTCAGAGGGAAGGGAGAATTGGGTCACATAAGCAGACGGTGCCCTCACTGTCTGTCACTTGGCTTTAGCAGCTTTCTCCATTTTTGCCTCTGTAATCAGGAAGGCAGGAGGCCTCTACAGCCTCTAATCTGGAGTCAGCCCCCACGCCACCTACGTGTCTACTTAGCACACGTGTGTGTGGTATGTGTCTGTGTGTGGTGTGTGTCTGTGCCTTTGTGTATGTCTGTCTGTGTGGTGTGTATGTGTGTGTTGTGTCTGTGTGTGGTGTGTGTGCGTCTGTGTGTCTGTGTCTGTGTGTGGTGTGTGTGGTATGTGTGTCTGTGGTATACATGTGTGCTAGTTTATGCTCCTATGAATGTGTGAGGTCAAAGGTTAGCACTGGCTGTTTTTCTATTGCTCTCTATTTTTTATGACAAGGTCTCTCAGTGAACCCAGGGCTCAGCAATCCAGTTAGACTTCCCTACTTGCAAGCCTCCAGATTCTCCCGTCTCCTCCTCAGGGTTGGAATTTAGCATGCACTACCACACCTGCTTTTTTGTTTGGTTGTTGTTATTGTTGTTGTGGGTGCTAGGGACATGAAGCCAGGTCCTCATGTTGCACAGAAAACACTGTCTACTGAGCTAGCCTCCCTAACCTTGTTTTCTGAGACAAAGGGCCTTACTGTACAGCCCAGATCAGCCTAGAAATTGTTACACAGCCCAGGCTGGTCCTGAACCCATAGCAACTCCCCTGTCTCTAGCCAAATGCTAGGATTACATAATAAACCACAACACCATACTTCCTGAGTGATTTATATAAGAATTTAGAAATTTAGACTCTTTCTGCACTCACGATACAGCCAGTAACTGAATTCCCTGTTTATGCTGGGGTGATTTTGAGCACAACTGATTTAGCAACGAATAAAAAAACCCCACCATCCCCACATGCATGAATTAATATTGCAAACATAATAGGTCAAATGTACAGCCTGTCAAACATGGAAGATGGCTTCAGAGAGGTCATAATGCAGAGGAAAGCAGCTGGTGTTTTCCATGGGGCTGTCATGGAAGGGGGAACTTGAAGGAAGATTAAGTGAGCAGACAGAGGGACTGAGAGCATCGGGACAATGCTGGCCTGAGACAGACGTGAGATGTGTCGTTACCACAGAAACCACTGCCACATCATTCATGTGCAGCAGCTCTACAGTTGCTCAAGAAAACAGCTCATCAAAGAGCCAGCAGAGACAATGCCACCACAGGTTTAGTAATAGTTACACAGCTAAGATGTGTCGAGCACAGCGCTAGCTCCCAGAGTTACAGAAACTTACTTATGAAAACAGTGCTGGCTGTAAACAAAATTCTCTTTAAAATCCCAACCGTTTTTAGCTTTAAAAAGTCACATCAAACTTACAGGTTGCTAGTTCTAGTTAACTTCTTTTCCAAAAGTTTGTAAATACATTTAAAACGATGACTGGGAATACAGCTGAGTAGGAAGGCACTTGCTGAGAGTATAGGAAGGGCTAAGAGGAGTCTCTAGCACAGGAGAGACAAAACATAAATAGTTAAAGTAATTCAATGTGCTATTAAATCAAATTCAAAAAAATATTAAGATGATAGACAAGGTGACACACATCTGTAAACCCAACATTTGACACTATATTTTATTTTTATTACAAAGTTACTAGACAGTTACTTAGAATTTCTTCTTAATAAAAAGTATGACTATCGGAGAATGGAAAGGGGGCTCAGCAGTTACATTGCTTGCTGCTCCTTCATAGGACCAGAGCTTTGTACCCAGCATACACACTGGGCAGCTGACAAACACCTGTGCTCCAGCTCCAGGGGCTCTGATGCCCTCTTCTAGCTCTGTGGGCACCAGCACTCATGTGCACACACACACATAGACATGGACACACACACACATAGACATGGACACACCCACACAGGACATTGACACACACACCCACACATGGACATGGACACACACACATAAATAAAATATCAAAATCTTAAGAACCCCGACTGTTGGTGAGATACTCACTCGATGGACACAATGACAGCGTTCAGCTCCTCAGCCATTGCAGTGCACAGCTGGTCATAGTAGCTGATTTCTACAAGAAAGGAACGGTTACTACAAAAGTGGCCCTTTGGGTTGTCCACACTTACATATTTCTGAGCACATACTGTGTTTAGACTAAGAAAACAATAGCAACAAACACTGAAAAATGCAAGTGAGCCAGGTGTGGTAGCACTTGCTTCTAATCTTAGTACCTGAGAGGCAGAGGCAAGAAGGTCAGGAGTTCAAGGCTAGCGTGGAGATTACCCAGGTACACAGGACACTATGTCAAAAAAAAAAAAAAAAAAAGAGAGAGAGAGAGAGAGAGAAGACAGGGGAAGGGAAAGGAAGGAAGGGACAGGGATGGAGGGAGGGGCAGGGAGAAGATTAGAAAGTGAGAGAAAGAAAAAACAAAGAATGTGCAAATAGAGACACATTCAAACATTCAAATGCAAAAATTAAATCTATTTTCTGATAAAATGCAACTACTCTAACTAATGGGAAATCAGGATCAGGTTAGTTTAGTTTTCAACTTAGTAAACATTCATTTCAAAATGGGCTATATGAAATGCAACAGACTAATTCTGATTTTTGCAGCATTCCAAATAAACCCTTTCAAAGCGAATCACAAAAAAATAGCACTTTCTTTTTCAAAGTTTAAGATTTTTACACTTTTAACATCCTCATTTGCCACGTAATTCAGGAAAAACAGCCAAGTGAAGAATAAGGTAGTTTCTTTAAGCCAACATAAAAAGTAGAATTTTAGGTGATTTTAGCATTTCCTAGAAAGGGGACTCAAACGTCCTCAGGAACAAAAATAATTTTACAGGTCAGAATTGATTTGTTCTCTTTGTTCTTTCCGTATTTTAAATCCCATCAGACAGGGATGTAGCTCACTTGGTAGAGCACTTGCCTACATACATGAAGCTTTGATTTAATCCTAGCTCCACATGAACTGAGGGAGGAGACACATACCTGTAATCCCCACACTTAGTTAGAGCTGAAGGCAGGAGAATCAGAAGTTTAAGGTCATTGCCAGCCACACAGGGAAGCTAGCCTAGAGTATATGAGACCCTGTCTCAAAAAAAACAAGTAAACAATCAAAAAAGACTGTCTCAGCAGATCCCTAATATTCCCTGTGTCATGGACTTGAAAAGCAGCCTTAGAAACAGAAGGCGTGAGAGTGCATATCCACCTGCACACGCTCACCAGCCCAGCTCTCCTTTGGTACACCAGCCAAACCTTCACATGCTCACCAGCTAAACCTGCACACGATCACCAGCTAAACCTGCACACGATCACCAGCCAAATCTGCACACGCACACCAGCCCAGCTCTCCTTTGGTACACCAGCCAAACCTTCACACGCTCACCAGCTAAACCTGCACACGATCACCAGCTAAACCTGCACACGATCACCAGCCAAATCTGCACACGCACACCAGCCCAGCTCTCCTCTGGAACACCAGCCAAAAATAAGGAGTAATGGCCAGATTGACTCACACCCTTCTGCACCCCATACTTGACATCTCTCCTGACAAGCATCCAGTGATACAAATTCCATCTTTCTACTCTTTTTGGATCTCTGTCTCTAGCACACACAAGAGTGACTGGAATGGTGAGCACTGGTTGTCAATTTTACAGGCTGGAGTCACCTCTGGGCATGTCTGTGACAAGTTTCTAGACTTTTGAACTTGGCAAGGGAGACCCATCCCGACTGTGGGTGGTACTACACGGGCCCGGCTCCCAAACTGAAAAGAACAACTAATTGTTGTTACCGTGTGACAGCCCACCTCGCACTCCTGCCCTGGCCTTCCTGCCACGATGGACCATACCTCAGAATGTGAGCTACAATAAACTCTTCCTTCTTTCCTCCCTCCCTCCCCCTTCTTCCCTTCTTTCCTCCCTCCCTCCCCCTCTCTTCCCTCCCTCCCTCCCCCTTCCTCCCTTCCTCTCTCCCTCCCCTTCCTCCCTTCCTCCCTCCCTCCCTTCCTTCCTCCCTCTCTCCCTTCCTTCCTCCCTCCCTTCCTTTCTTCCTCCCTCCCGTCCTTCCTCCCTCCCCCCCCTCCATTCCTCCCTCCTTTCCTTAAGCTGCTTCTTGTTCAGCATTTTATCATAGCAATGAAAAAGCAACTGATACAGTGACCCACGGCCCAGGTCTGCCCATAGCTGTGAGTATCTGCACTACTGTAGTAGCCACAGTACTGGACAAACTTCCATATTCAGTGAGCATGTGTTGAAATTGGGAACAGAGCAGTGAGTAACAGAACAAACGATGGGTGTGTACCTCAATGAAATGGAGTTGTGAAAGAAATCTGTACATTCTTGTATTTTCTGCATTAAAAATTTACAAATAATATAATAAAAAAGAGACCAAGTTTGCACTGCTTTTCTTTCTATTTTGTTAAAGTGACTTTTTCATGTGTGTGTCTATGTGTGGTAGGGCCGGCATGCCATGATGCTCATGTAGAGGTCAGAGGACAACTGATGGAGGAAGGTCATTGGTTAAAAAAATAAAGAAACTGCTTGGCCCTCATAGGTTAGAACACAGGCGGGTGGAGAAAACAGAACAGAATGCTGGGAGGAAGAGGAAGTGAGCGCAGACTCCACAGCTCTCCTCTCGGGGGCCGACGCCTCAGAGAGATGCCATGCTCCCGGCTCCTGGGCAGACACACGCGATAAAGCTCCGACCCAGGATGGACGTAGGCTAGAATCTTCCCAGTAAGCGCACCTAGCTGTGCTACATAGAATATTAGAAATGGGCTAGTCCAGGTGCGAGAGTTAGCCTAGAAGAGGCTAGATAGAAATGGGCCAAGCAGTGTTTAAATGAATACAGTTTGTGTGTTGTTATTTCGGGCATAAGCTAGCAGGCGGCTGGGGTATTGGGGACGCAGCCCCGCCGCCGCTCGTATTACTACAGACAACAGTCTCTCTCTTCACCATGTGGGTCCCACGGATGGAACTCAGTCATCAGGCTTGGTGACCATCACTGCGTCTCCTGGACCATCTCGCCAGCCTATCGTTACTTTCTAGTTACAGAGAATACCCAAAGCTCCGGCCTGAGGATGAGGAAGGAGGCCATGGTATCCAGAGGCAGAAGCCCCATCCTTCTGAGACAGGCTATGCTAAGCAGCCTGCTTCTTCCATCCCCTTCTACTCAGAGAGATGTCCAACTCCACAGGAAACACCTCTGCACTTGGAAATGCTGCTTTCTTTTCATGGCTGCATATTTTTGGTATTTTAATCTTTGGTTCATAAGCCGATGCTGATGAATTAACGTGGATTAAGCAACACCTGCTTTATTTCGTAAAAACAAAGCCTTCAAAATAAAGTTGACCAGAATTACAGATAATTACCTCATATCCTGGCCCAGTGAAAATTTACCTTATTTTGACACAGAAAGCTAGTATCAATGGATCACAATATGTCTATGATTTAGATCACTGAATTTTTGCTTATTTTTAGAAATACGGTCTCTAGCCTAGGCTGGCCTCAAAATTAGTATGTAACTGAAGAAGACTTTGAACACCTGATTATCCTGCCTCCAGCCCCTGAGTACTGAGATTACAACTGTGTGACAGTGGAGCTGAGGATCGGACCAAGGGCTTCTGCGACTCCAACCAAGGAGGGTGTGTGTGCGAGACAGCACTGCCACCTAAGCTACTGCTCCTAGCCCAGACAATATTACAGAGCAATCTGCCAGCACTAAGACATAAATCAGGGGCTGGGACTGTAGATCGGTGGTAGAGCCATCATCTCCTGTCAAGATACAACTACCTTCAGTCCCAGTACTACAAACAGGAAGAGGAGGAGGAAGGGAGGGAGGGAGAGAGGGAGGACAGGAAGAAAAGACAGGAAGAAAAAACAGGAAGGAGAAAGGGGAACCAATAAGGCAAACCTTTCTATGCCGTAATCATACAAATGGCACTGCTGATATAGACAGAATGACAGGAGAAATCATAATGGTCCAGGAGAACCGGTCCCAGTCTTAAACAGTAACCACAGCCCCTCCTGGAGCAAAGCACGCTGACCCTCCTGAAGGTGACAGGGACTTACTTGCGCTTGCCAGGGCCCAGCCTCCTCCGTGGATATAGATCACGCTGCGTCGCAGCTGCTCATCAGGTTTCGGAGACCCCTCAAACACTCGGACTTCCACCCCATCAAAGTCCGTGTCAGTCACCTGCACTTTCGGAGAAGACCTTGCGCTTTTCTTCCCAAAAGAAATGATGATGAAGTTCAGTGCGATCAGGTGGTGGCTCAGCCCCAGGGAATGTATCAGGTTACTCTGCAGGGTATGGGAAGAAAGGGGGGTGGTGTTAACGTCCACACCAGGCTGACACCCACAAAGCCACGCTCACCAACTCCACATGTGGGGTGATGTGGGATGTCCTCTGTATGCTGTGAATGTCTTACTACCATTGGTTAATAAAGAAGCTGCTCTGGCAGGCAGAATAGAGGCGGGCGGGAAATCCAAACAGAGATACAGGGAAAACAAGTGAGACCAAGCGTAGAGTCAGAGAGAAGCCAGTAGCCGCCAGAGAAGATGTGAGGTAAGGCCATGTGGCAATTACACAGATTAATAGAAACGGGTTAGTTTAACATGAAAGCTAGTTAGTAATAACCCTGAGCTAATAGGTAAAACAGTTTGTAATTAATATTAAGCCTCTGAGTGTTTATTCGGGACCGGCGGACAAGAGAAACCTCCAGTTACATGGAGTTCAGTTTTTTGTTTGTTTATTTGTTTTGAAAGCTAATAAGAGCTGGGAGTGGGGAGCAAGAAGGAGAACGATCCCCCTATGAGGTCCTGGGCTCTGAAACTTGCTATGCTAGACCAGGTTGGCCTCGTCCTCCTTGCAGAGATCTGCCTGCCTTTCGCCAGCTGAGTGCTGGATTGCATTAAAGGCAGGCAAGCACCAACAACCAACCTGGCTCACTGTGCTGTTTTGATTTACTCAATATTCCAGGCCAGCTGCCTGGAGACAGTTCTTACAAACACTGCTCTTGGACCAGAGAGATCCAGAGCCACTGTCGCCTCTTAGCAGTCCCAGAACTCTGAGTCAATCACTAAGCCCCTCTGTGCCACACCTTCCTAGCCATAAAATGAGAATGCTAGCAACTATGTCAGAAGATTGGTGGTGGCCATGTGCAATGCCAGCCCTTGGGAGGTGAGACCGGAGATCAGCAATCCACGGTTACCTCGTTAGAGTCTTAGGTTAGCCTGGGCTGCATGAGACTCTCTCCAAAATAAAATGCAAACAAAGACTGATAACCATGATCTGAAACTGTTGGCTAAAAGCTGTAAACAAATTACCAGAGAAGGTTCATGTATGGGTACTGTTATGTTATGTCAGCTTGATAAAACCAGAATCATTTTAGAAGAGAGAACCCCAGCTGGAAAAACTGCCCCCACCAGATAGACCTGTGGTCCATTTTCTTGATTGATGATTGATGGGAGAAGTCCCAGCTCACTGTTGGGGGTGCTACCCTGAGCAGTGGTCGTAGAAGCTGTAAGAAAGTAGGCTGATCAAGCCAAGAGGAGGAAACCAGTAGCAGCCTTCCCCCATGGCATCTGCATCACTTCCTGCCTTGAGTTCCTGCCCTGAATTCCCTGGATGATGGACTATGAGCTATAAGCTGAAACAAATCTCTTCCTTCTCAAGTTGTTTTGGGTCATAGTATTTTATCACAGCAATAGAAAACATAATAAGAACACAAGTATTCTTGGGTCCCAGGGAGAGGAGCCCGGGAAAGTCTGTTGTCTGATGCTTCAGCCACATGAGTGTCTCAGTAACTTGTAATATGAGCTCTCAAGACTCCATGGCAGCTCATGGCTTCACTCTCCTGATGTCTGATGGGCTGGGTCCTGACAGTGGTCCTTCCATTTTTCTAGTATAGTCACTTCTTTCTATCTCGTATCTTTTAATTCCTCTCTCTGTGGGTGGAGTTTTCCTGTCCTGACCGTCTGTTCCCAAATAACTGACACAGAGGTTTATTACAATTTATAAATGCGCCGGGCGGTGGTGGCGCACGCCTTTAATCCCAGCACTCGGGAGGCAGAGGCAGGCGGATCTCTGTGAGTTCGAGGCCAGCCTGGTCTACAAGAGCTAGTGCCAGGACAGGCTCCAAAGCTACAGAGAAACCCTGTCTCGAAAAACTAAACTAAAAAAAAAAAAAAAAAAAAAACAATTTATAAATGCTCAGCCAATAGCTCAGGCTTATTACTAACTAGCTCTTATATTTTAAGTTAACTCATATTCCTTATTCATGCTCTGCTATATGGTGGTGCCTTTATTAGCATAGCATGTTCATCTCCTGCTCCTTCTTCCTGCCAGCATTTTCTTAGTTTGGCTTTCCTGACCAATCACAGCAACAAATCCTCACAGTGTACAAAAGGATTATTTCACAGTACCTCTCCACAGGCAGCTCTTCTGTATCAACTATAGCAAAACACACATTTGGACGAATGAATGATTTTTCTGCATCAAAACCTGGTCATATTTTTTTAAGCACTATACGTTTGAGTGGACTTTTACTACGGTTATTATATGGGATGGGTTTGTTTTGAGACAGTCCTTAAGTATACATTTAACAGCAGATTAGGGGAGATAGTAGGTTGAGACAGGGTCTCTCTCGGCAGCCCTGGCTGTCCTAGAACTTGCTATGTAGAACAGGCTGGTCTTAAACTTACAGAGATCTCCCTGCCTCTGCCTCCCAAAGGCTGGGATTAGAGGCTCATGTCACCATGATCAACTTGAAGTACAGATTTAACTTTGGTTTTGGTAAGACTCAACTTCCATGACTCTACTGCAGCTGGGGGGTGTGGTGGCCTAGTGGTGTTTTGGTTGTGGTTAGGTCTCACATTTCAACCCCTTGCACACCTACCCTTACCCAACAAGGACAGAAAGAGAAAGTGAAGGTATCAATGTCCTCAAAAAGGTCCAACTCTGGTGACATGGTGGAGCTTTGTTCCCATCCCACCCCATCTGTCTCTGCCCTCAAGACAGCTGCAAACCTCCCTGGCTGGACCTGCCCCATTTGAGTTCCAACTCAGCAAATGACACTGTCGTCCCCTTTCCATCTCCTTTACCACAGCAGCTGCTGAGAGCTCCAGCTTGTTACCTCTTGTTGCCTCTCTCCAGTACAACACTGTCTAGTTCTCTCCTATGTCCATTTCTTATTCTTTTATATGCAATACTAAGAACCTGCAAAAGGAATTCTATGTTCATGGTGACTTATACAGTCAGGATGCTGTGGCAGGAGGATCAAACATGAGTTTGGAGTAAATAGTGGAACTCTATATCAAAACAAATCAAAACAGAACCTTGGAGAACAAGGGAATTTAAATGGCCACTTGGACATTAAAAAACAAATAAAAGACAAATAAAAAACAGATGATAGACAGACAGACAGACAGACAGACAGATAGATAGATTAGTGCTGTTGTCTGTTAGCAATCTCTTCTCTGGTTCCTTTCTCAGTCAGGTAAAGAACTGCAAGATGAGGTGTCACAATCCACAGCACACAGCCAAGTGAAGCAAAGTTCCTCACATGGTAATTTTTACAGTGTGTAACAGGGCCAGGTCCCCTTTTCCTTATTGAATTGGATGGGCAAGATGCAGTTTGTTGGTTTGGTCACTTTAAGTACAACAGGAACCAGATGGGGGGGGGGAGGCGGGGGGAAGATTTCTGAAATACCCATGGAAAAAAAGCATGTGCCCGGAATAGGAATAAACCACGCCAAAAGAGGAATTTTTTCAGACAAGAACTGGGAAGTAGACCATCTTGGATTAAATGGCAAGTATTCAGAGATCAGCATGATCCAGTCCAGGGCATCTTTCCCTAGCTATATACCTATTCAAGAATTAACTATCTCCTGTCATCCTGTCATAGATACATAGATGGGTGGATGGGTGAGTGGGTGGGTCGATGGATATCTGGATGGGTGGGTGGGGGATGGATGGATGAATGGGTGGGTGGATGATAGATGGATGGGTGGATGGGTAGATGATGGATGGATGGATGGGTAGGTAGGTCGATGGATATCTGGATGGGTGGGTGGGTCAGTGGATGGATGGATAGATGGATGGATGGATGGATGGATGGATGGATGATAGATGGATGGGTGGATGGAGTGATGGATGGGTGGGTGGGTAGATGGATGGATGGAGTGATGAGCTACAATGCATTGGCTTCAAGGAGGTCAGTCTGAAAGTACACTGTATTCTTTGAGAAAAGGGTATACTTTACCTGGGTCTGATGATTCAAGACTATAACCCCAGTCTGTATGAGTCAAAGGCAAAAAGTTCACCAGTTTCAGACCAGTGTGGACTGCAGAGATAAAATAAAAGAGGCGGGGCAGGGGAACTGGGAGGACAAAGGAGGGTTAAGATTGAACTGCCCCCGTGGAAATTACATTCTACAGGGACTGAGGATCACCTCTTATCTGCCTCCTATAAACTTACTTGTGTGAACTCTCTGGGGACCACCCCTCCACTTGCTTCCCACACCCCATTTCTTCTTTTAGGATCACAACTCACACCATTTTTTTCTGTGATCTTGTCTGTCACAAGCTTTCTCGAGATGCAAACCCAGGTCATCCCATTCTTATGTTCTTGCTTTCTCTCTGCTGACCCCTGCCCTCTTTATCTCTGTGAAGCTGTCTATCCACACTGACGGTCCTATTTCTTTAGCTTTCCCTTACAATGCAACCTACAACATTCTGAGTTCCGGCACTGTATCTCCAAACTAAGTTCACCAATGGCTACTCAGTCAAGCCCTACCAACACGCTCCTCGGTTCCCTGACCCCTTAACTTCTCCAGGCTCTGGTCTACTGTGTCACAAAACCCCATTTATTTATTTATTACTTGGGGATTCTTTTGAGCGGGTCTCATGTAGCTCAGGCTGACCGCAAATTCACTGTGTAGCCAAAGAGAGCCTTGAATTTTTCTTGCGGTATAGCCCAAATGCTAGGGTTACAGACATGTTTATCACGCCTGGTTTTTAAAGTGCCAGGGATTCCACTGTAAGGTGGCTACCAACTGAGCCACATTCCCAGACCTTTCTTTGTTTTTGAGCCAAGGTTTAGCCTAAACTGGACTCAAACTTAGAATCTTCCTCTCAGCACCCCACATGCTGGGATTACAGGTGTGGCCAACATGACTAACTCCTGCCTTTGTGTATATGTACATATCTTACAGCTTGGTTCTTCATCTTCTGCCCAGAGGGTTTTTCTTTTGTTTTGTTTTTCCTAGACAGAGTTTCTCTGTGTAGTCCTGTCTATCCTG